ACACACACACACACACACACACACACACACACACACACACACACACACACACACACACACACAGTGAAGCACGGTGGTGGCAGCACCATGGTGTGGGGGACTGGTCACTGATCGTCCAATTGGACTGAGACGGAAGATTTACAAAAACACAAGTGTTCACCCAACAAGACTCAGTACCTCCAGTCTGGACCAGGTCCCAGAACACCTCCAGTCCTGATGGTGCTGTTCAGGTGCTACATCATGGGGACCATTTTCCATAGAAACATAGCCTTGTGGGAACTACTGGTCTTCGTGGGGACCAGGATTTGTTCCCCATGTATGCAGTTGTTGGGTGGGGGGTTAGGCCTAGGACCAAGGTGTGGATTGAGTTTTGGCTACATTTTTGATCAGGTGTGTGTTGGGGGGTTAGTTTTAGGGTCAGGGGTCTGGCTGTAGACATTACTGGAAAATGAATGGAAGTCAATGCAAGGTCCCCACAAGGATAGTAAAACCAACGTTTGTGTGTAAACAGATGAAGACGTCCCACTCGTCCTCGTCCTGCTGTGTGAGTCTGAGGGACAGGTGTCCTCGACCTCAGGGTCTCATCAACCTGCTCATCACTAAAGGTACCACACACCTGGTCTTAGGTGGAACACCAGAGTCCACTTCTGGTTTGTTTGGGTCTAGGTCTGACCGAACCAGAACTGTAGAAACCCAAAGCTCTGGTTCTGTTCCTGCAGTGTGCTTGTTGGCTCTGCTGTTCGGGGTCGTCTGGTCCATCACAGGCAGGGAGTGTTTACCTGGAGGGAACCTCTTCGGCATCATCATCCTCTTCATCTGCTCGCTGCTGGGGGGGAAGCTGGTGGGACTGATCCAGCTGCCAACGCTGCCCCCCTTCCCTCCACTGCTCGGTGTGATCCACCTTCCCAATCAAGTCCAGATTAATTAATCCTGATTAATCTAATCGTGGTTGGACTAATGGTGTGTGTGTGTGTGTGTGTGTGTGTGTGTGTGTGCGCGCGCGCGCGTGTGCTGCAGGCACTGCACCGGCTGAAAACAGTCTGTTTACGTGTTGCTGTTGGTCCCTGCATGATGGAGGCCTGCACCATCGCTGTGGTTTCTCACTTCCTGCTGAAGCTGCCCTGGATCTGGGGCTTCATCCTGGGGTAAAACACCTCAGTATAACTCTGGGTCTAGTCTTCATCCTGGGGTAAAACACCTCAGTATAACTCTGGGTCTAGTCTTCATCCTGGGGTAAAACACCTCAATATAACTCTGGGTCTAGTCTTCATCCTGGGGTAAAACACCTCAATATAACTCTGGGTCTAGTCTTCATCCTGGGGTAAAACACCTTAGTATAACTCTGGGTCTAGTCTTCATCCTGGGGTAAAACACCTCAGTATAACTCTGGGTCTAGTCTTCATCCTGGGTTGGAACACCTCAGTATAACTCTGGGTCTAGTCTTCATCCTGGGGTAAAACACCTCAGTATAACTCTGGGTCTAATCTTCATTCTTGGGTAAAACACCTCAGTGTAACTCTGGGTCTAGTCTTCATCCTGGGGTAAAACACCTCAGTATAACTCTGGGTCTAGTCTTCATCCTAGGTTGGAACACCTCAGTATACCTCTGGGTCTAGTCTTCATCCTGGGGTGAAACATCTCAGTATAACTCTGGGTCTAGTCTTCATCCTGGGGTAAAACACCTCAATATAACTCTGGGTCTAGTCTTCATCCTGGGGTAAAACACCTCAATATAACTCTGGGTCTAGTCTTCATCCTGGGGTAAAACACCTCAATATAAC